TTTGGCTGATTCTAACATTGTGTCGTGACATGTTATTTATCAGTTCAAACCAACTTGTAAATTATTTACTAAATATGTCTTTAGCGTGGAAGACGCCTACTTTTCTCCCTTGGCTGTTGCCGAGCTCATATAATGAATTACCTATTGCCTTTAATACCACGCATTTAACATTTTTGTGTCCTAGTTTAGCATTGTAACCGTCCGCCAGTTTACTCTGTCTGAAGTTCTTACGATAAACAATTTGCCCTACTTGGAATTGCACCTGTTTGCTTCGAGTGTTGTACACCTTCTCGGCTCTCTTATGTGCATTTTGTAATTCAACATTTATCCTATCTCTCACTAACTGTTGCTTATCACAGTGCTGTAGGTTCATAACTTCGGCAGATCGCATTAATTGCAGTTGTCTATTGACATCATACGCCGCGCCATGTTGAACCATGTTCACACCGAACACCGCAAAGTATGGTTCCATTCCAATTGAACTGTGCTTTGCACTCCTCAAAGCAAAGGCCGCATCACTGATATGCTCGTCCCATTTCCTTTGATCAGTACCCAAATATGATCTTAACATTTGCAATACGGACTGGTTGACACGCTCTGCTGCATTCGCTTGTGGAGAATATAACGCCGTTCTGACTTGTTTTACTCCATATTTCTCTAAAAATGACTTAAAGGTTTCGGACACAAACTGTTTACCATTGTCTGAATGCACAAATTCTGGTACTCCAAACATATGAAATACCTCAGTTTCTAAATACTGCACTACCTTAGCCGCTGTCGCAGTGGACATGGGTTTCAGAAAAACATACTTTGAAAAGTGATCTAAACATACAAAAATCATTGTATTCCCTGCTTTCGTTCTAGGATATGGTCCCATAAAGTCTATATACAGCCTTTGGAAGGGTCTTTCTATTAACATTTGTGCACCCATTGGCGGCTTACGCATTCTGCTTACGGACTTGGAACCATTACACACCTCACAATTCCTTATAAGTGTTTGTACATCTGTTACCATGCCTGGCCAGAAATATTTTTCTCTTATTTTTGCTAACGTCTTGTGAAGTCCGCCATGTCCGGAGGAAGGTGAAGCATGCATTCTTTCAGTTAGTAAGCCCTGCATATCAGCTGGTACCCACAACTTCCATGCACTGTCTTCTTGTATTGGATCACCACTACTGAAATTCATTCGTTTATAGACATAACCATCTGACACACAGAGATCTGGCATTTGCTCTTGTTTAGCTTCAATGGTCTTGATGAGATCTTTGTATTCTGCCGAACTAAATGATAAAGACTGTAAGTCGACGTCTAAATTCCTATTTGTGTCTACCATTTCCTCCATGAACACCCTTGAGAGTGCATCTGGAACGACGTTTTGTGTACCCTTTCTATGCTCGATTTTAAAATCGAAGGCCTGGAGCTTGAAACTCCAACGAGCCAACCTGCCTGTCAGATCCTTTTGGTTCATCAGCCACTTGAGGCTGGCGTGATCAGTTATTATTGTAAAAGGTAGACCTTCAACGTATGCTCTGAACTTCTTGACGCTGAGCACTGCCGCGTAGCATTCCAGTTCCGTAACACTATAGTTGCGTTGGGCTTTATTCAATTTAGAGGACATATATGCAATAGGACGTTCACCTCCGTTTTCATCGGTTTGAAACAACACTCCCCCTACTCCACATGTCGAAGCGTCACATTGTATGTAGAATGGTCGCTCAAAATTTGGGTTCGTTAATACAGGGGCTGTTGTTAAGCTCTCTTTTAGTTGTTCAAAAGCTATTCTTGCATCCTCAGACAAAGTAAATTTCTTCAATCGCTCCTTCGACAGACATTCGTGTAATGGTGCCGCTATTGAAGCATAGTCTTTGATAAACCTACGGTACCATCCAGTCATTCCTAAAAACCTTCGAAGTTGCTTAGCTGTCTTTGGCTCCGGGAACAAGGTCATGGCCTCTACTTTCCCTGGATCTGTTCTTAAACATCCATCACCTACAACATACCCTAAATATTTTACCTTCCTATAGCAGAATTTACTCTTTTCGACATTGATTGTTAGACTAGCATTTCTCAAACAGTTGGCCACCCTACCTGGTACCTGGTCTACCTGGTACAGTGAAGGCCGTTTTCTCCCTTGATTTATGCTCCAATGGTATTTGCCAAAATGCATCTTTCAAGTCAATAGCTGAAATGTATCTTGTATTTTGTAGTCGGCTAAGCAATCCTTCGATGTGCGGTAGAGGGTAAGCGTCTTTAATAGTCCTGTCATTCACTTTGCGTGCATCCAGGCATAGCCGGTGTTTATCTCCTTTTATGACCAAAGTCACTGGTGAGCTCCAGCTGCTATTGCTCTCCTCAATAACACCTAATTGTAACATGCGGTCCAACTCTGCGTACATCAGTTTTTGTATTGCTGGGGAGATAGGATAATGCCTTTGCTTTACGGGAAGATGCTCATCGCGAACTTCTATAATATGCGTTTCGACCATTGTCTTACCTAAACCTAGCTCATTGAATGACGGAAATTTTTTTACTACTAAGTTCAACTTTAACAACTGCTGCTTAGTTAGTTCATGTGGATCAGCCGTAACTTTCAAACTGGAAGATTGTATCTCTAACTCAGACACCCCCTTTAAATCTTTTACACAAATTTTTTTCCTCGTTAACAATGGGATTTCAAAAGTCCTCCAAAAATCAATTCCGAAGTAGAATTCTTGCTGTAATGAAGGAACTACCAAAAAGTCCATTGACTTAATTTCTCCTTCCCATAACACAGGTAATGAAATGACTCCCATGATTGGAGTTTCAATTCCATTTGCCGTTTTGATAGATTTTCCTTTAATTTTTACCAGTTGGTTAATTTGCTTGTCTAAAAACTCTAGAGCTCCCT